TTTTTTCACTCCGCTACGGTTCCTCACCATCTCCTCCTTCGGTCTGCATGGATCCGGCGCGTTTATGCGCCCGGGTTCATCCTTCCCTTTTCCCTCTTCCGTTCATCGCCCGCTGCTGCAAACGCAGCGCCTGCTACCTCGTCTCTCGCTAGCACAGCGCCCGCTGCGCTATCCGTTTTTCACCTTGCACGCACTCAGCACAGCCTCCCATCCGTCGTTCCGGCCTATCCGTTGTCACCAACGCCTCCCCCTCGGTCGTGCCACCAGCCCCCGACGGCCTGGTTCGCTATGCCACTCCTCTTGCGAAAGCACCCGGCTCGATTACCGACCGGGTTCGTTCTTCCTCTCCCACAATGTTACGATCGACGCTCACTCAGCGCCTTGCGGTCCGGACAACCCTGTCATCGGTCGGTTTGAGAGTGAGATAAAGCAAGCRGAGAAAGAGAACTTCCTCCGCTCTTATGCACATCATCCTTGCGCAGGGTCCATGCTAATCTTCTCTGTGTCGTTCCAATTTTAGCGGATGTCCCGAAGGACAACACCAACACGAACGGATGTCCCAAAGGACTTGGCGCCGGCCGGTGCCCAGGCTATTAACGCGACACGCAGCCGCCAGGCGAACCTCGCCGTGGGGCAGCCCACCCCGCCCCTCTCTGGTTCGCTCGTACCGGGAGCAGCCCGCGTCCGGGTTCATTCCGGGTTTCTGCGCATCCTCCCTACGCAGCCACCAAACGAACCCTCTCTGTATCGCCCAGATTTTTAACGGATGTCCCAAAGGACGTGGCCGGGCGATGCCCCGCAGTTCTCCCAAAGGCCAACACTGGGGTCACGGGATTAACCTGCCCTGGTCCCGGGAAATTTTGAATACCCGTTTTTACAGATCCGGCTTCATCATCTACGTTCGAACACAGATCTGTATTTCAAAGTCTTGGCGATGTGCCCCCCTGCTGTGTTTTCGTGTCCACATACGGGCACGACAATAATAATAACTAAATAAACTTAGAAATAATATATACATATATATATATATAAATAAAAATAAAAATGAGCGGTAGTCGGGCAGGGACCACGGCACCCCTCTCAGCCTGCCCGTCAGCCCCACGCTTGGCCCCGCGGCAACAAAAGGAGAGGGGGATAGTCCCATAGGCCCATCAACCCCTCAAGCCATTTCGCCATGCTCCTCCGCTCCCTTGCCGCATGCTGTTGGGCTCGATCCCTGCGCCTGCTGCGTATCAGTCCGATGCTATAACTTATAGGGCTAAGCCCAAGCCTGGTACCAGCAGGCCTAGCTCACCTAATAAGGAGGTAGCCCCCGGCCTTATGGGGCCAAAGGAGCCACCCTATGCCATTTCCTAACCCATACTCATACACATGACCACAAAAAGGCCGCGCCAACCTCCCTGCTGTGTCGCGGCTACCCTTACCCGGCCGAATCCATCAGGTCTCATCATCTGGATGCCACGTAAGGCCACACTCTCTCACTGACCCGTCTATCGTTCCACGCGGAACCAGAGAAAAGCGCCCATAGGTTAGCCAGCTTAGTCAAAACAAACAATTGTTATAATGGAGCGCGCCGACCGATGTCCGCGCCACGTCTACTAGTGTAACCAAAAGGAAGGGAAAATCACGCGCGCCTCAAGCTTGCGCGCCCACGCACTCTTTTACTCTCGTCAATCATCTAGTCAGCGTAAATTACGGGCGCGACCGCGCCTAGCGCGACATACATAAACTTTAAACCAAACTGCTTTCTGTTGTTTGCAAAGACCAGGGCGGATATGCTTGTAAGGGTATTCGCACCGACAGCTTATCGGACCATATTAAGCAACGTCCCCGTCGCTTCGCAGGATAAAAAAGCTATCAATTCAATCACAATCCCAAAATGCTGACGAGCAGGGTACCAATCCGATCAGCCGACAGACCCAGGGTTGAGGCCTCCAATAATCCATGCCAAACACAACTTTATGCTGCCAGGATTCTAACCTGGGTCTCCGTCGCCCTGACACTCGGACGTCGGGATACTCCTCACTGTACTACATCATAAGCTTCATTGGATCTCTCACCGTCCCATTCCCTGCGCCCTAGATAACCGTCGGCTTCTCGTTGTATGCCGCTAGCCTTTTCCCTTGAAACCAAGTCGTGACTAGGGGTGCGGGCCCTAACCGAGATCTTCGAAGGCATTATCTCGCCTTCCTCTCATTAACACACGTAGTCGTACCACTTAGATTCTCACATAAGCTTTACTGCAGTCTAGTACAGGAAGACCAGGTCTCCATCTTGGCCCACCATAGTCTGGGCGATCATTCCAGATTTACGGCCCGCCACATTGTTATTTTAGCGGTAGTGCCTTCGCGGGTTGCGCCACGATAGGCTGTTCCTGATAAGCATTCAATCAGGACTTCCTAAAAAAGACTCGTATGACTCGACTCTTATCCCACGCCTCTCCGCAGGAGTAAAACCCTCATAGGCGTTCACGCCCCTTTAAGTCTTTTACTCCCTTGGCCAAACGCAGAACCTCTGCTCAGGTTGTGCCAAACAGCGGCCAGCACTGAGGGTTGCGCCTTAGTGATGCTACTTATACCCCTAGCTGGGTTTCTTAAAAATATCCAAGATCAGCACAAGCGGCCAGACGGTGTGTCGCAATAATACAAGCCTACTGCGGGACTACGCATACACCTGTCGCACATAAAAAGGTATTTACCAGTTCCTTTGTGGGACAACACAGAGGAAGCACGACAAGCTCTCCACAATCACAAAACAAAATCACCGTCTGATTCACAAGGCCGTGGCCTCCCAGCTTGATCAGAGCAAGAAAGTCACACATCTTGATGACATCTCTTAAAACACACCATTTGCGACATCCAAGAAATCCACCAATAGTCCAACAAAAAATTTGGTCCCTCTCGTCAGTCTTTTGAAAATCAATCTTCCATTAATCAATCTTATTAACCACCTTATTTATAGAGGAGGTCTCACTTTATTAAGTCTCTCAGTCATCCCTCTCTCACTAGGATGAACTCTCTTGCGACCTTTTCTTTAACGCATCTTCCCTCTCTGAAGGTGCGTCTTCCAAATAGATAATGGAAAACCTTTCCACTCACAGGTGTCCCACTCATTATATACTCCATGTTAAAAGACCAACTTATGGGTCTTTTACACATCTCAACAATAGAATACTCATTATACAAATATTCAGGATCCTCACATCCTTCCACAAAACAGACTGCGCTTCCTTGTCTTATACTCGGCCCTTTCATCTGCCCGAGGGCAGGCCGCACGAGTATACCGGCGAGTAGACAGTTCACTTTGATCCAGATTCACAAGATACAAAATACATCAGGCATTTTCTCGCGCATATTTCACACCAAACCATCATCTATCAAACCAGGACCACACAAGTGAGTGTGAGAGTGATAGTCATATACAACAAGTAGTCCCCAAAAAAAAAGGTTTCGATATAATGTACACTCAGGGATAGAATGTCCCACATGAAGTGCCTCCAACATACACTCAGGAGCAGAATGCCCCATACACAAACGTCCCGAGATCGTAACCCACTCAACTCACTCAAAACCACACTCACACTAATGTCGTCCTCAAAGCACAAGCTGGGTTTGTCTCTCGAAGATCAGGGCATAGGTCACCTAAGTATGTACATGCGTCATCCACCATGCCCTGGCCCTTAAGATGGCAGACTCAACAAAAGCCAAACCCAAACTGCTCGACAAATGCAAACAACACCTAGGTCTACAGAATGTCATTTAATCCTAACTCTAGTCCTACACGCAACATGTCAACCATATAGGTAACTTAGTCCAGATCACTCATCTCCTCCTGGTTTTGCCTATATAGCTGAGCCCTACCCCCGTCTGCAAATCTCTTTACTTTCCTTCCCTGTCTATCATACATCCTGCCTCCTTCCTCTGTAACCTTCCCTTCGGCCTTGTCCTTCAGGAACCTAGGACACTGCAAGGCTCGATGCCCCTCCTTGGTACAGAAGAAACAGGATGTATCGAACCACTTTCTGGGCCTCTTCTTTCCCCTCTATGACCCCGGCGATGATGGTGCTTCGCTGGCCTCCCTGCTCAACTCATGGCTCTGAGGCTTATCCAAAGGCTCCTCTCGTGTCTCCTCCTCCTGGGTACTCGGTCCATGTCGGTCCTCAACCCCCTTTGGCCCATACTCAGGCGTGCCCAACCTCTGGAGCCCGCCCTCGATGACACCCTCAGCCTCAATCCTCATCTCTCTCTCGAGAGACTCCTCTATCCTCTGCTCAGGCGAAAACAAACTGGCCTCTTCCTGCATYGAGTGCACTGCCTCAATAAGCACGYCCATAGATCCYTCTGCCGAGCCCTGAGCTGACTCACTACTGGATGKTGGTAGCCCYTCCTCAACTGCCAAAGGTATAACTGGGCCCGTCGCTGCTATAGGTAGCGTCGCGAGCTCAGTAGGGGCTCTGAACTCGAAGGCCTCTCTCTCTGCCTCCCTCTGGGCTCTCGCGTCCTCTGGCTCCAGGATAACTCTCCCCATAGGTGGCTCCTGGCGAGTCTCTGCTACAGATGGCTGTCCGGGCAACCCATGTCCTGGCTTCCTCTGCTCTCCCTGTCGGCTGCTCTCTGGCTTGTCCGCCTCTCCTTGAGATCGCTGCCTCAGGCTCTCGATGATAGCTGCCTGGATGGCCACCAATGCCCTGAGTTCCTGGATTTCCACCTCCATAGCCTCCAGGCGTACTCCATGGCCTGCTTCCTTTATCTTCTTCTCTGCCAGATCGCTCTCCAATAGCGAGTACCGGTCAAAAGTTGTCTTGGCCAGGAACTTGACTTTGCGATCCAACCTTTCTTCCGCCTTTCTGGCTACTCTAAACCCGGCTCTGGTCGACGAAGGAAACTCCTCTCCTCTTTGCTCCTAGAAGTCCCTCCACATCTCTGGGATCTCCGGGGCCTTGACTGGCTCGCTGGGTGGCTGACCCGGGAGTGCCCTTGCTGCCTCCAATTTCTGCCTTTCTTGCCATATCTCTTTTATTCTCACAGTTTATCTCGCCCTCTTTTCTTCAGCCGTTTCTCCAGCAAGCGCCCTCTCCCTCGTGCGGAGGTCGACCCTCTTCGGGATCTTTGCCTCCACCTCCTTCTCGGGCTGGCACGGCTCCTGGCGCGGCTCTGCAGGTGCTGGCTCCTCCAGGTCCGGGTGCTTCAGGGCATGAGCCGCTAGGTGCCTGTCAATCAGGGTCAAGGCTTCTCTCCTTACAGCTGCCCTTTCTCTCCTATTTTTTGCTCTTCCCTCTGGCGAAGGAGCCTTTTCTGATGAAGGCAATGGGGCCTCCTCTCTCTGCAATTCCCCTCCTGTCTGGCTTGTGCTCCCAGGTGCATCTCCAAGTCTCAAGCCCACCGCTGGCGTCTGAGGGGGCGTGTGCTCTCCAACCTCTATCACTTCCTTCCCTGCACGTCTCTCCTCATCGCCCAACCCTCTCTTTCGCTGAGTGTCCTGGACCTCCTCCTGCGGCACCTCCTCTCGTGGCTCCTCCTCTGCCTGCTCTCCAAGCTCTTCACCCCGAGGCGACGCTCTCCACTGAGAGATATCCAAATGCGTCTCCGACTTCCTCAAAGGCTCCTCAGACGCTGGCGGCTCCTCATGTGTGCGTGATGGCGACCTCCTCAATCCACCCTCGGCAAACCGATGGAACTCCACTGGTCCCAGCCCACACTCAGGGTACACCCCTCGCTCCTCTGGCTCCGGCTCTGGCTCCTCCTCTCTCCTGGCTAGGGCCTTCCGTCCTCCTCGACACGGTCTCGCCTCCCTGGGCTCAGGGTCCCTCTGCCTCTGACTCCTCTGACGCCTCTCAACTCTGGGCTGAGGGGGCTCTGGCCGTCGAAAGGCCTCTCTCAGATATGCCCTGCAGCTCTCCCAGTCCCGGGCCATGCTTCTGACTTGGCTAGCCAGTGACCTTTTCGCCTTCCTGGTCCAGAGTGGTAGCATCTGCATCCAATTATCTCTCGGTATACCCTGCCCCTGCATGAACCACTCGAAGGCAGGGATAAAGTCTGCCACATTTCCGATCTCTAGACGGATCGGCCTGCCATCTGGTCCCACACGCGAGGGTCGCAGCTCTTCCATCCTCGCCTCCACCTCCTGCCTCGTCGTCGCCTCCCTACAAATCCTGGCAATGGGCTCCTCGAACCTGCCTGCTCCCCTCAGTCTCTCGATTGCCTGGGCCATGGTCCAGCCTATACGCCTCGCATGCTCCCAGAAACTGTCCAGGAATAGCTCGATGTCCCCATCATCGTACACCGGAGTACTCTCTCAATGGCGAGGCCCATGTCGCTCATATCCTCCTGATGCTCCCAACGGCCTCCGAGGCGRCCGTGTCCCCCTCCCTCCTCTTGGCATGACTGTCTTCGTAAAGTCAGACCTGCACAACAGGCGAAGGAGACAACAGGCACACATTGGGGTAARCAAACAGGTGATAATCAASCAAGCTCAGACCAGACCATACTCATGCAGCATACAACCTATCCGACCTACRTAACCTATYGCTTCTATTYTAGAGGTAGTCAGATCGTCTYTCTTACCTCTTCTCTSGCCACAAATTTCTTCAATCGCGTTCYAGATACCCAATCCTTCCACTCAGTCYCATTCAATTCCTCAATCTGGTACGCTCYGAAGTCTCCARCCCGTACGATCCGGTAGGGACCTAACCACCTCTYATCAAGTYTCCTGGACCACTGCTTTTCCARCGATGAATCGTAGAGAAGCAYGRCGTCCCCAATTGCCAGAGGCAGTTTCCTCACCYGAGCAGACTGATYCCATCGAGTCTTATCATCCATACGACTTCTAGCCWCTTGATCGGACRCCWCCTGGATCSTTTCCTCTATCGCTCCTATCTGTCGCGCCAGAATGTCGAGCAATKCCTCAAAGGACAGGTCGACTTCTAGATCCTGGCGCCTCCAAGTTTTAAGAAAACTCTCGATAGGGAAGGTGGCGTGTCTTCCATACCACAGTGTCGCAGGTGCGTACTTGGTGGATCTTTTCACTGTAATATTTTCGACAAAGAATGTTGCCCTCAGATATCTTGGCCATTGATTAGGCCTGCCTTCAGTCCACTTAGCCAGGAGACTCGTAATGGTACTGTGCCCCCTTTTCACCGGAGCGTTTGCTTGGGGGTGCGCGGCCGTGGTGTAGTTAGCTACTACACCATACCTTGATAACAACTCGTGCACCTCCTGGCAAGTAAATTCCGATCCCCTGTCCATTACGAACTCCCTGACGAAAGGATAACGCAGGTAGTACTCTTCGATGCAGCTAACCAAAATTGAACCAGTCTTGGTACGAATGGCACGACCATCTACGAAGCCAGACAGGTTATCGCGCGCATCGAAGATGTAGTTATAACCCTGATCCCCAAGCGACATGAAAAGTAGATCGAGATGCACTACAACCCCCACCTCTCGCTCTAGCTTTGGATGCAGCGGCTCTCCTTGCCTCAAACGGGATCTCTCCTGGCAGGGTGCGCAGGATCGACAAAATTTCCCGGCCATGTTCATCATCCCATCCCAGTAGTACAACTCACTTATCTTGGCATACGTGGCTTGTACCCCTTGGTGCCCTCCTGCAATGCCATAATGTATTGTTGCTACGATGTCAATCTGGCAGTTCCTACCGCAGATGACTCTCCTGGGATTTTTCACTTCTCTTCTTACGAAAAGGTGACCGTCTCGCACTAAGAAGCGCTGCATCATCCTCTAAGCCCTATCGCTTGCATCCCCTAGTCGCATCTCGCAAGACAAGAGAAGCCCCAGCTCTAGGTAAATCCCATCATACTCTTCTGCGCGAAAGGCCTCCTTAATCTCCCCCTCCTCGAACTCGTCGTTCTGGCTTTCGGACACTTCGTCCACATTCCCTGCCGGGTTCAACGAGCCTGACTAGTTGAGGCTTTCCTGCAGTAGCGTGTTGACGAGGAGATACATTCCTCCCATCAGATCCTCATGCCGTTCTACGTGGCCTGGTCCTTCCTCGATCGTCCTCCCTGGGCCTCTCAGTCTTACCCTCTGAAGTATGCTCTTTGTACAGAGCCCTTTAATCCATGCAGACATTCACCCTACGTACACCCATGTATATATATATATATATATATATATATATATATATATATATATATATATATGTATAGAGGGGAAAGTATGGGACGATCACTTTTCACAGTCTCACTGGGGTCCCTCACAGCCATACGTATATATGTGATCGCAGGCAACGAAATTCAGAATCTGATTSAYAGTACATGCCTGCAAATCACATCAACGAGTSAATYGACAGCCCACSCACTACACGGAGTCAACCCCAACCATCTTCAACACACATACCCCTTGCTTTAGCCATCCAAGCCCCAACCTCCTGTCCAACCAACCTTAATTAAATACTCAGTACCTTTGTCAAATGGCCATTCAATAAAATGTCCGGGTGAAACCGTAATAAAACAATAAAATCACTAGCGCTTAAGCCTTTTAGGTTGAGTGTGGAGGGTGAGTTGGAATTGAGTCGTAAACCAACGGACGACAATCGACCTGTTATCAGTGATAACAGATAATGATCCTCTAGGGATCAAGCTGAATCTAGTCTTGACCTTGAATCAGACAACCCAAAGGACCTGTAACACAAGATAGGTCAAATGCCCAGGCTAAATCCTCAGCATATGGGTGGTAAACCTCCATAGCACATCTCCATATAACACTGTCTAGCGCCACCTGCCGAAAATAATCTAACTCCTCTGAAAACGGGGAAAATTCGGCAGCGCCTCCCGTAGGAAAAGTGCCCTCTCAGAATTTATATAAGCCCAAATATGAAATCAGAAATAACCCTTGACTCCCCAAAGTCCAATTTTGTCTAACTCCCTGACTTAGCAAAAAT